ACGCACGCACACACACCTGGCATGAGTTTAAGCCACCGGGTCCGGGACTTGAACCGCAGTCGACTACGTGGGAGTCCAGCGACAGCCATTATGCTAACTGCTGGTCCCCAGACTCTTGATTAAAAAAAAAAAATCCAGTGAGACTAAGGCAGCGTTGAACAAAAGAGGCTTGTGGTCTCAGAAAAACTGAAAGCAGAAGAGGTACTTGGCCACCCATATTCATGGCAGCATTCTTCGCGATGTCCACCAGGTGAATGGATAAAGAAATGTGGGCTATACAAAGTGCAGTGCTGCTGGGCCATAAAGGAGGGACGTTCTGACACATGCTGTGGCATGGAAGGACCTTGGGACACGCTGCTAAGTGAATAGACAAGGCAGGAAGGGACCTCTGCTGACTGGCTTCAGTGTATGAGCTCCTTAAAGCAGCCACAGTAGGGAGACCGAGGAGTGATGGTTTCCAGGGGCTGGAGCACGTGGAGGGGGTGGGGAGTTATTATCCAATGGTACAGAGTTTCAGTTTTGCAAGAAGAAAGTTCTGGAGATGATGCAGATGGTTGTGGCAATAGAAAAAAATAAAAAAGAATATATTAATGTCATTTAACAGTACACTTAAAGGTGGTTAAGATGGTATACCTCAAGTTTTTCATATTCTAAAGTCATAAAGAGGAAACAAGTGGGGAGAGGTTGGGGTCAGGGATAAAAGATGGTGCAGAATTAGCCAAGATACAGAAGCATGAACTTTTTTTTGCGGGAAGTCAGATCAACAGGGGAGGGAAACCTAACCTGGGGCGGTGTAGTGAATCCGTGCAGAAGGAAAGGGGGGTGTTTGTCTTTACACTTTACACGCGGCCTAGTGTGCGCTCACGCCTGGAGTGTTCCTCGACTTGTTCCAGTGGAGCCAACCTTAGCTTTCCCGAGCACCCCGCGTGGTTACCGTCCCCCGGAGTCCCCTGCACGCCCCCAGACTAGGCCGGCCTCCCTCCTCTGCCCTTCCACTGTTCTGGTCCCCACTTATTTCTTTATGTGCCTTTTCCGCAGACCTTGGAGACAGGAAGAAGTCTGGCTTATTTTTGCGTTCCCAGCACCCATCCCGTGCGCCAGCACACAGGAGGGCGTCCACGACAGCTTAGCAAGGCAGCCTGAAGGCGGGGTCCAAGTTCGGAGTCCTCGGCCCTCTCTCCTAACGCCCAGTCAAGATCCAGAACAGCGACAGCAAAACCACCCCCCCACCAAAACTTTCCACCGCTCCTTTAATCCCGCAGAGACTCGGGAGGTCTCAGAGAGCCTTGGATTAAGCTGGCCTCTGCCCGCGTCTGGCTGCCGGCGGAGGGACCTGGCCGCTCCGGGCGCAGAACCCGCGGCGGGCCGGGCGGTGAGCAGCGCCGGGCTCCAGGTCAGCACCACGGACAGCTCCGCCGGCCGCGCACGGCCTCGCGAGACACCCGGTCGCCCGCCCCCGGCCCCTTTCTGAGAATTCCAGCTGCGCCCTCGGGCATTGGGCCACTGACGACCCGAAGGAAGGAGGGAGGCGGCTCTGCCCACTCAGACCGGCCTCGTGTGAGGGCCCAGGTGAGGAGCCTGGGGGGCTCGGGGTGGCGGCGGGGAGGGGACGGAGAGAGCAGGTGGCACTCGCAGGCACCCGCTGCTCAGGCAGTTCGTTCTTCCCTGCGGTGTCTTATTCACGGTCCTGATAACCTGCGACATAGTTACACGTGTATGCAGGCTTATTTCTCTTCTTTTTCTTTCTTTCTTTTTTTTCTTTTTCTTTTTCTTTTTTTTTTTTTTTTTTTTTTTTGAGAGAGAGAGATTTCTTGCTATATGGCACATGCGCTCTCCAGAAAGACAGACAGAGACAGAAAGAGACAGAAAACGAGAAATCACCCCCTGGGGGGATGGCCACATCACAATCGCTTCTCCTCCGTTCTCCTCTCGGGATCTTTGCACGCACGCACACGCGCCCGGCATGAGTTTAAGCCACCGGGTCCGGGGACTCAAACCATGGTGGGCTACATGGGAGTCCAGCGACACAGCCGTTATGCTAACTGCTGGTCCCTACATATATGCAGTGTTTATTTAACAGGTGAGAAAAATGGAAGGTCAATGAGAGTAAGTTTAAAAGAAAATCTTGGTTTTATGCAATTAGGCGGCGGAGGAGTTGGCGTTGGGCCAGGTCTGCATGATTCCGGGGCCCGGATTCTCCCTCCCCTACCGAAGTTCCTCTCAGAGACGATAAACACATCTGGGTCGGGAGCTGGGAACCCGGCCTGGCATTCCCGCTAGCCGCGTGAGTTTGGCGGGATTGTGGGCACCTTTGTGTCTGCTGGAGCAGCTCCTTCTTCAGTTCCCTAACATTCCCCCCATTGCCTAACTTTCAGGATTCTACTCTGTACAGGTTATTTATGTGACCTTTGTGCATGGAATCAAGTGACTGAAAAGCAAACCTAAATAGTCATCAAGATGAGACTGGAAATAAAGTTTGACACAACCACTCAAGGCAGCTGTTAGCAGCAACATGGAACTCATGGGCGTGGGCATAGTGGTGGTTACGGGGACGAGGTTATGGGACCCTGGCCAGGGGTACGTACACAGTTAACAGGAGGAGTGAACTAACTCGCGGATCTGTCATACAGCAAGGCCATTACAGTCAGACAAGATATTACGCTCTTGAGAAATACAAAGAGAGTGTTCTCAGAACAAAAATGAGGGACCAGCAGTTAGCGTAATGGCTGTGTTGCTGGACTCCCATGTAGTTGACCAGGGTTCGAGTCCTGGACCCAGTGGCTTAAAATCACGCCGGGCGCGTGTGCGTGCGTGCGTGCCCAAGAGCCCGAGAGGAGAATGGAGGAGAAGGGATTGCAGCATGGCCATCCCCCCGGGGGTTATTTCTCGCTTTTTGTCTCTCTGTCTCTGCCTGACTGGTGAGCACACATGCCCTATAGCAAAAACCTCTCCAAAAACAAAAATGAACTGCATGAGATAATGCAGTTATTACGTAGTTAGATTTAACCACTGCACCCTGTATGTATACTTCAGAACATATGTTGTACTTTATAAATACAAGCAATATTATATTGATTTAAATTTTTTTAGTCCAAAGATATTACTGTACATATTATCATCAACAGATAATTTTTCATTTTTCTGTTGAATGTTTTGCTTTTTTCTCTTCTTTTTTTCTGCCCCTGATTCTCTCCCTCTCATCCCCCTTGTATTCATGCTGGGGGAATTCATTGTGTATGTTATAAACATGTATAGTGATTAAATGTATAAAAAATGAATAAGAAAGAATGACGTAGTTCAATGGTTACTATAAATAATTTCTGATGCATATTGTTAAGCAAAGCAATGCAAGTTGCAGAGTGATGCACATAGTGTGTAAAATTTGTGCAAAAACAAGGGGGAAGTTACACACACACACACACACACACATATCATGGCTTACCTGTGATATACCATGTGTATATTCTGTAAAACTTCTCTCCATTTTAACACATTTCATAAGACACATACACCATAGTTTCGACTAAGCAGAGAATATGTCAGGAAAGATGCACAAGAAGTTAATGAGAGGACTTCCTTCTCTGAGTAGAATGGAAACGAGGCAAAATTATTTTCTTCCTGTACTTTTCTCCTGTACTATCTGAATTTTTACAATTTTTACACGTACAACTATTGAAATACAAAGTGCATACAATTGGGAAATAGAATTTATCTTTCAAGACGACTTTAAGGCTTAAATGAGCTCATTGTGTAAAATGGCTGGGGTAGGGTAGATAGCACATCCATGTTCAGATTAAATCAGTCTTTCCTGTCTGGCTTACATCAACCAATACCATATTTGAAACAATAAACCCTTATTTCCGTAACGTAGGGTAGTCAGGTCCAGGGATTTCCCTGACTTTACTAAGGCAGTTTTCCTCGCGGTTTCCTATGAATGGCTTCTTCGCCATCAGGATTCGTGAAGCTTCAGTGTGCATGAGTGTGTCCTGGATTTCGTCAGTGTGGGTTGTGGTTTAGTAGCTTCCTGGGAAGGTGGGCGGCAGCTGGAGTCTACATTTCTACTGGCTCCAGGTGATCCCAAAATCTGAGAGGGAAGGTCCTAAGTCTCCATGGAAGATCCCATTCAAAGCTATGTGTCACTCCCTCCATAAATGATACACCGCGGGTAAGGCACCGGGTGGGCAGTAAAATCAGGTAGAGCTGACCTGATTTTTTTGGAAAAGCCCCAAAGTCCTCTCTTCCCAATTGCAGCCTCTGGGAACCTTGGATTCCTCATCCTTCACATTGAGGAAAGTGACAGGTTAGTGACACATGAATGAAGTCTTCTGTTCCTGAAGTAGGAACATGGGTGTATGTGACAGTTCTTTTTTTCTTAAGAAAGATTTTTGCTATAGGGCGCGGCACATGTGTTCTTCAGAGAGACAGAGAGACAGAGACAGAAAGGGAGAAATCACCCCCAGGGGCATGGCCACACTGCAATCCCTTCTCTCCCATTCTCTCTTGGGATTGTGGAATGCATGCACATGTGCCTGGTGTGAGTTCTAAGCCACCAGGTCTGGAACTCACACTGTAGCGGGCTGTGTGGGAGTCCAGTGATGTAACCATTACACCATTTGCTGGTCCCGATGTTGTCACCATCTTTTATGAAGATTTTTTTGTGGGGCAAAAGAGGGAGATGGGAGATAGTTTTCTCTAGGAAAAAAAAATTAGAAATCAAATTTTCATATTTTAAAGAATTATTTTATTTAACTTTATTTACATATTTTAATTTGACCAGAGAGAGAGAGAGAAAGTGAGAAAGCAAGCTGCCAGGTCCAGGACTCAAACCGTGGTCAGTCATGTGAGAGTCCAGCGCCCACCACGCCATCTGTCGACTCCTCCACTGGTTTTTCTAGAAGAGTACCAGACCTGACTCTCTTCTCTAATAAAGAGGAAATAGGACATGACTTAAAGCTGAAGCAGCTGGCAGGGATCAGAACATTGGTGGGAACTTGCAGGTCATGGTAAGGACCTTGTCTGTTCTGGGAATAACGGGGACTGTAAAGAGTTACTTATTACTTTTTAAAATTATTTATTTAATTTTATTTATTATTATTTTTTTTTCAATTTTTCTTGTTTTTAAATTTATTTACATTTAATTACATGTCTTTACAGTATACATTTTTTCCCAACACAAATACCATGTGTATCAATCAAGACAAAAATATTACTATCTACATTATCATCAGCAAATAGCTTCTCACTTTTTGTCAATTAAGCATACTTTTACCAGTTTTTTCCTTTTCCTTCTCTCTTCCTCCCTTCCATAGTAAACTTTTTTTCCACATTTTATTGATTCGCAAAAGATCTTAAAGTATGGACACAGCTAGCATCTAGTGACAAGTGCACTGTAATTCTCTTCTGAGACATTTTTCTCTCTCCACCCCCCCTTTTACTAAAGAGAGCTATAAATTAACTTATTTGCAAAAATAAATTAGGTTAATCTCAATTTGGTCTGTTATATGCACAAAGCCCCATAAGAATTCAATTTCTGATGCAGGGCAACAGATACTATTGTATTATTAAACTTGTGCAAATAACCATTCTACCACAAAATAAGAATGCTCACAAATATTTTCCAATTACAAAGGGGTCAGGAAGGGAGTAAAGTTTATGTTTTCGTTAAAAAAATAAAAAAAAAAACATATTGCTGTATCTATCAACAACTTAAAAGAAAACAAAAATCCTTAAATCTGGAAGACACAGCATAGAAGGAAATCAGTAATGTTTCATAAAAAAGTCATAGAGGACTAGCAGATGGTATAATGGCTACATCACTGGACTCTCATGTAGTCGACTGTGGTTTGAGTCCCAGACCCAGTGGCTTAAACTCACGCCTGCTGCGTGTGTGTACATGCCCAAGATCCCAAGAGGAGAATGGAGGAGAAGGGATTGTGGCGTGGCCATCCCCACCTGGGGGTGATTTCTCACTTTTTATCTCTCTTTGTCTTTCTGGCGAGCACAGTGCACTATAGCAAAAATCTTTCAAAAAATAAAAAAAGGCATAGAATTCTATTTCACTAGTGCACTCTCATGTAATCTATCTTTTGTTGAATTTGCAGTGTTACTGTAGTCTGACCTTTCCATTAGCATTCAACATTATTGATATTTCATAACTTGTCCCTACTATTAAGTTGTCCCTTTTCTTGGTCATTTTTTGTTCTATTATTTGTCATCTGTCTTTATTTTTCCTGGTATAACACTCCCTTCAGAACATCTCTAAGAGCTGGTCTAGTGTTGGTGAATTCTTTCAGATTTTGTTTATCTGAGAATATTTTTCTTTTCTTCCCATATGAAGGATAATCTTGCTGGATATAGTATTTTTGGCTGATATTGTTTATCACTTAACACTTTGAATATATTTTCCCATTCTTTCCTTGCTCACATTGTTTCTGACGAGAGGTCCAACATTAGCCTGATAGGATATCCTTTGAAAGTAACTTGACGTTTCTCTCTTGCCAATTTCAGTATCTTCTCTCTGTGGTTTTGGTCAATCTGGCTATGATGTGCCTTGGAGAAGATCTTCTTGTGTTGACTCTGTGTGGGGTCCTTTGCATTTCTTGGGTCTGGATATTTGAATGCCTCTCTAGGTTTGGAAAGTTTTCTTCTAGGGTTTCATGGAATAGATTATCAATGCCCTGATTAGTTTCTTCACCTTCTAGTATAGTGATTTTCCAGATGCTTGGGCATCTAATGGTATCTAGTATTACTCATATATTATTCTCATTTTTTGTGTTTTTCTTTTTTTTAGTCTTTTTGGTGAAATTTTCTAAGTTCTGTTTTCTACATCTGAAATTCAATTTTCTGCATGATCTAATCTGCTTTTAATACTTTCAAGGGAGGTTTGTTTGTTTGTTTGTTTTTTACAGCACTGTGCATCTTTATTAACCATTCACGTACAGTAGTACCTGGTAGGATTGGGACAGAATTGGGATTGAAAAGTGAACAGATATTCAGCATCTAACTGTTCCAAAGAAGCCACTACCTATTCTTTTTCACAAACAGGATTTCACAGAGCCAATACAGTACCAGCCATTGACCCAGTGCACCGAGTGTACTGAAGTAGAAAAGATGCAACGAGAAAAATAGCTACATTAGAAAGAACTTCAACACTTCAGTAAGAGTCAAACACTTTCAGTTTCTCCTCTTGAGCCCCTAAAACATCATCTTACAGTCTGAATCTACCTATACAGTTCTACATCAGCTTCTAGAATATTTGTCAGGAGGGGGAAAAAAGGGACACTGGTCAGTACAGTCTTTGGATATTTAGGAAGGGGTGGGGAGAAGTCAGGGCCTACTATTATTATTTAATTTGGCCAGAGAGAGAGAGAGAAAGTGAGAAAGCAAGTCACCAGGTTCAAGGCTTGAACTGAGGTCAGCCATATGAGAGTCCAGTGCCTTAACCACCATGCCACCTGCTGGCCCCTGTGAAGAGGCCTTTTTTTTTTTTTTTTAGATTTTTGTCATAGGGTGCATGAGCTCACCAGAGAGACAGAAAGTGAGAAATCACCCTCCCCCCCATGGTAGAGGGCCATGCCGCAATGCCTTCTCCTCCATTTTCCTCTTGGGATTTTGGGTGCACACATGCCCAGCATGAGTTTCAGGCTGCTAAGTCCGGGACTCTAACCACAGTTGTCCAAGTGGGAGTCCAGCATCTTAACTGCTATACCACCTGCTGGCCTCCGCCACGGCCAGTGATGTTGAGGCCCCACTAGCTGCTACACAGACTGCACAGAGCAGGGACGAAGGCAGACAGACCGAGGAATAGACTTGTTTACCCAAGTGAGGCGGTGACTTGGAGAGATGTAGAGAGGTCCATTTGCAAACTGTTTCTAAGTGTGTTTCATCCCTAGATGGAGAGGGCCCTGGAGGCAGCCAACATGACCAGAGTGCGGGAGTTCGTCCTGCTGGGCTTGTCCACGAGGCCGGGCACGCGGGACGTCCT